TTATTATTATTATTATTATTGTATTTAGGACAGGGTCTACAAGGTCTCACTACATAGATTGGACTTGTAGTGATCCTCCTGTTTACAGCCTTCCAGGTGCTGGGATTACAGGTGAGTACCACCATGCCCAGTCTCAATGGCTGTCTCATTGCATCCCTGGGGGCAAGCCTGGGGATCGAACTCCTGGCCCCTGCATCTGCCTAAGCAGGTGCTTTAATCTGCTGAGCTATTTGGCTGACCAAAATTTTTTAAATTTTATTGTGGCACAAAATATATAAAATTTACCATCCTTACCATTTTTTAAATTAGCACTTCAGTAGTATTAAACATGTCTGTAATTTTATGAAAGATCTCCACAGTCTTTTCATCTTGTAAATCTGGTTTTATAACATTGAACAAAAGCCTTTTATCTTTCTCCTCATACTCACTAGAAATCACCATTCTATTTATTTTCTTCCTATAAGTCTGACTACTTTTGTAGTAGGTGTGTTGGCACAGGCCTGTAGTCCTGGCACTCTGGGAGGCTGAAACAGGCAGTTTGTTACAAGTTCAAGGCTGGGCTGGGCTACATAGTTCAAGGCAGCCTGAACTACAAAGTGAGACCCTGTCTCAATAAAACAACAATAACTTTTAAAAATTATTTTCATGTAACATACCCCATACATACACCTATAAGCTCAGACTCATGGTGTACATGTAATTTATGGAGTGTTGTTTAATGTCCTGCTGTGTTCTGAATTACTAAAACAGCTGTGAGCCTGAATACCTAGGAAGTTAGAAGTGCAACATACATAAGTAATTAATTTTGCATGTAGAATCCTTAAAATTATCAGTCATTAGGTATGTAAATTATATATAGATTTTATTTGTTGCAAATAGTAAAACATCACAAATACAATCCTTGTCTTTGTTAGTATTTATAACACTCTAATGGAAGTTGACATACAGAAAAATTTGATTTTGAAGTTACATAAATAGTAAAACTACTGTCAATTTGGAAACTGGTGAGAGACAAATCACCACCTTCTACAGAACTACTAAATTATTTTCTCTTAGGGTTCTTGTGATTTTTTTATTTTAGTGCACTTCTATTTTTGTATTCTGATTGTTTTCCCTTAGCTTCACCATCAGTATTTTTCCATGTACGTCATTTTCATAACTATTTTAAAGTATTATATAATGTTACATTTGTGCATATCCCATGGTTAGATAATTGTTTTCTTTTCCTCCATTGGGACTTTTAGTTCTTTTTATAGTTTTTACTTCATGTATATACCATCTTATATTCTAGATTTAAATTGTTTAACTTTTAAAACATAAAGGACTTTTTAAAATGGGGAGAAATAGCTGTGAAAATTAAATGTCCCGAAAGAGAAGGAAATTTGGGTATGGATCCCTTCTTATGGGTCATGGGTGTCTTTGTTTCATTTCCCTTGCCCAATAATACCCCCAGTCCCACGCTCTGGAGACCTATTGAGTTATAGAACAAAGGAAAGTTTTCACTGACTTCTTCCTCTAAGAAAGAGGTTGGTTTGATAGTGATGAAAGTTGGGACATATAACTAGCCTTTGGCTCTTCTTTTATCTAAATTGTTGACTTTCCTTCTGCTGGTACATAAAACAAATATGGGGAAGGAGACAATTTCTATTTTAGTGGGAAACATGGTAAGAAGTAAAATGAAAAAAAATATTTCTAGTGGTCAAAAAAACAAAAAACAAACCAACAACAACTGAGTTGTTCATGCAGAACCATGCTTGATTCTTGTTTCATTTTGGTCACTTTTCATTTTGTTATCTTCATATTTTTTAGAAGGAGGAATTCAGTTCAGTACAACATACTAAATCTCTCAAGAAAACACCTAAAGTCAAAGCAGCAATTCAACACCTTTGGAGGACTGAATCTTTGTGTGTAGCTTCCCAGAAGGATACTGGAACTGAGAGAGGGTCAGTGTCATTTGGGTGTGGGAAGTGCTCTGTACAATGGTAAGCTATTTGAAGAAGTTAAAAATTAAATAGAGGGGCTGGGGAAATGGCTCAGTAGAATAAGCGCTTGCCTGGCAAGTGCAAGGGCTTGTGTTCAATCCCTGGTTCTGCCAAAAAAAAAAAAAAAAAAAAAAAAAAAAAAAAAGAAAAACAAAACAAAAAACAAAACCAAGCAAACAAAAAGAAAAAAAAATAAAATTAAATAGAAATTGAAATCAATTTTTGTGTGTTCTTGTTATCTAGTGATATGTATTAAAGACTTGTTCTTATTATACACACTCTCAATTAGGAGTAGAATGTCAGATATTAGTGATTTTAAAGATTTGGTGTGTCTAACTGAGTGGCATAAGCACTGGCCTGGCAAGTGCAAAGTCCTGAGATCAGTCCCTGGAACAACAACAAAAATGGATTTGGTATCTCTTTATGTGTGTTTTTTTTTGAAGCTATTATGAATGGAAATGTTTTTCTTATTTTCATTTTTGGGCTGTCAATTGCTGGCATACATAAATATAATTGAATTGTGCTTATTTATTTTGCACTACAGGATATTACTGAACTTAATAGTTCTAGTTTTTAGTGGATTCTACATATCTAGGAATAAAAATAGCTTTGATTCTTTCTTTTCAGTTCAAGTATACTTTTTATTTCTTTTCATTGGCTAATTCACTAGGACCCCCAGCCCAGTGTTGCACAGAAATGGAGACAGAGCCTGGTATGGCGATGCATACACAGCCTTCAGGAGGCTGAGACACGAGGACAGTTAGGAGTTAGGGGCCATCCTGGGCTACATAGTGAGTTCAGAGCAGGCTTAAGTACACAGTGAACTTTTCACCTTTAATGTGATGTTAGCTATATGCTTTCCATAGATCTCTATCATTCTGAGGAGCTTCTTTGAAGGCATATTTACTGACTGTTCAAAATTTGTCTGTTGATTAATTCTTGTATCTATAATCTAGGATAAGGCGCATGTCAGAAAATAGCAGAATTATTCATTTAACATCATTTACTGACATTTCTGAATGTCTGAAGCCCCAGCTGGATAGGAGATATACTTATACAGAAGAACCTAATGTAAGTATTTCAAGGACTAAGTGACCTTATTCCTCATTGAACTGTCAGTATCTCTGGTTTTAAAATTTCTTTTGGTTGTTGTTTTCTTTTTCCTCTGCTAAAGAACGCATTTTATTTCTTGGCAAAAGGATTTTTACATTAAAACTACCTCTGTGTTTCTCTTTATAGTGTTATCATGCTTTCTATGGTATTGATTACTATTTTCAGAAATGACTGTGTTGTAGTTTTGGTATTATAATACCTCAGACACTAAGTAAGGCCCCTTAGTATAATTGCTAAATTTTAAACACTTTGTAAAAATAATATTTTATATTGTTTTTTAAATCTAGAATTTTAAAAGGATAGGGTAAAGATTTCTTAATAACAGGAATTTGATGTATCACTTCTAGATGAAAATTTCACATTTCCCAAGGATTACACTTGAAGTATAAACTGTACTTTTTTTGCAAAACTGGGGATTGAACTCAGACCCCTGTGTTTGCCAGGCAAGCGCTTATTCCACTGAGCCATATGTAACTTTTTATAGTGATTTATTTTATACTAAGCAAATAATTCTCTTCTAATTAGTATTTTTTCCCAGCTAAAACAGTGATTTTCCAGCTTGGAGTGCTGGCAGTTAAGCATCATAAGAACATTACATTTTCACTTCAGAATTTGTTCAGCAGGCAGCCAAAGAGAGAGGCAAAGTAGAGTATGACAAAGGGAGAACAGGGGGCTGACTTAAATCCCAAATTGTTCATGCCACAGTTGTTTTAAGGATTACAACGAAGTCTGAGTTCCACAAAACAAGTACTAAAGAGTTCGTGTGCACAGGACATACCCTTGAATGTGGTGGACTCGTTCTTGCACTTGGAGAAACAGTCGGCTTTCTGTTTGAAGGGTAGTGTTAGGTCTGCTAGCATTGTTGGCAGAGAAACCATAAACAACAGAGTTTTATGAGAACTTATACTGCCATTTACACTCCACAGGCCATGACCTCCGTGGGGTGAGACTGTCCAAAGAGGGACCCCCTAAGGACAGTTAATGAGCAGCACTGAGAGGCCTTGAAGATAGTTCTTTTTATGACTCTCGTATCTACAATAGCAGCACCTCAAGGCTAAAACAACTGTAAATATGTAGGAAAGAGGCCACCAAAGGAGATTTGGAAGACTTCTCGAATAGTATCACTGTGCCTGAAACAGGCAAATAATTGAGTTTGAGAAGTCTTTTTCTTTTCTTTTTTTTTTTTTGTCTGTCTACAGCCATACTATCCTCAATGCACCCAATCTCACCTGACCTCAGAAACTAAGCAGGGTTGAGCCTTGTTAATATTTGAATGGGAGAAGTCACTTCTTAACATCAAGTTTGAAATGACTTATTTATAGTATAATGAATTCTGCTGCTGTAATTGGTCTCTATAAGTGAATCTTATATGACAGTCAGATGCAAACATACTGCATTAATTACATATATGGTATAAAAATAAAATAAATAGCTTGTTGGGAAAATGACAGGCAGGCAGAATTTATGAAACCTATTTGTACAATGCTGTAAAAATTATAATGTTTTTTGGAGCATAATAGACTTCTGTGTTGTTATATAGGTTAAAACCACATCAGATGTGGGTGCTTTGGGAGGATTTGACATGGAAAATTTGTTGCAGTCTCTGTATGTGGAAAGTAGAGCTGGATTCTTTTTTACTAAATTCTGTGAGAATTCAGGAAACGAGGTAAAGAACAATTATTTAAGGTTTAATTTTATAATTTTGCTCCATTTAAAAATAAGTAGTATTGAAATAATTCAGTGCTTCACATAGTTAGAGGTAAGGTTAAAATGTCCATCTCTGGCTAGAAAACCACTATACTTGATATATAATACAAACTTAAATATATCAGTTATAATTCTTTTTGGTTCACTATCCACTAAAATTATAGAGGAAAGTAAAATATAGGTAAAGGTTTGACTTGTATTACTAATAACAGTTTATTTTCATATAATTTTATCTCAGTGTAAATATATTTGATTTCTGAAGTCTTTAATTTTTAATAATTCTAAAAATTACAATGAATAGACAAAAATTATTTCCAGTTTTTAAAAAATCACAACTCATTTGGCTTGAATTAAAAGTATTTAAGCGCCACAGATGTGTTTGGTTCTGCCAGGATGTACATCTGCCCATACATATTGCAATATCTTCAGATTTTGGTCTCAGGCCAGAAGTAAGTGATTACTCCTTAACTTTCAATAAGAACACTTACTATTTTAATGGCAGCTATGTAAAAATGCAAAAATATAATGTTCTAGTGACAGTGATGATACATATTTTGTATATTGTCATTCAGTGATACAAGATATAAATCATCCTTAATGGAGCCAGATTTATGTTAGCAGCCAAAGAGTGAACAATTATTTATATTTGAAATCAGGACTTTGTAGAGCTTAAATAATTGGCTGATAATAATTATATACTTTTCCAATCTGCAGTTGTGGAAGAATAGTGTGTACTTTTGGTTTGACCTACAGGCTTATCATCAGCTTTTCTACCAAGAAACGCTTCAGCCTTTTAAAGTATGCAAACAAGCACAAGTAAGTAGTAAATAGTGTTGGTTCCATGTGAAGCTCATAATGCACAGAGAAATGAAAATTGTGTTTTGTCTCAAGCAACAGAAAGCTGAGATTGTAGGCAAAACGGCAGCAATTAACTTACTGCCTTGGGATTATTTATGTGTCAGCAGAATATTGTTCTAAAATCTGATTTGTGGGCTTTCAGTTTTATCTATTTTATTTGGTTTTCTCTTTGCTGCCAACTACTTACTCCTCCAATAAAGAACATCTGATCTTCCCCTGCCCCATTTTATACCTTTATGGTTTGGCTCTAGGTGACTGAGTGGACTTGTACTGAGTCACTTGGAGTGACTGGGAGCAGTGGCACCGACCACTGAGCCTTCTGCAGATGTCAGTTGTTGGCTGTACGGGGCTGCTGCTGACTAGCTGTGTGTGTGCAGGCCTCATTTGTGCGCCTGGGCTTCTGTGCTACACACCACATGAGGCAGATATTCAGAGGGTGGAGGAGAGAATGTTTCAAGACCACCCTGAAGCAAATAGGAGTAAGAACAGAAGATTCCCTGTAAAGAGGAACAGAGAGAGTGGCCTCTTTTTTGTGGGAGGATGTCGACAAAATTATGATTCTGGCTGACTTATCTTTTCAGTTTTTTATTCTTTGGTTCTTCTGATCTTTTATAGAGAAGGGTATCCAAGCCTAGAAAACTGCTAATCATTTCTGTATCATCTGATCACTTGATTCTTATAACCCAGAATGGCCCATTCTAACGGATCTCCCCCCATCACTGTTGAGGAAACTAGTTTCATCACTTTATTTATTATGTTATAATCTTATTCAGGACATCAGACTGTACTGCTGGATTTCTGCTGTTACTTCCACCACCCTGACTCTGGCATGAATAACTGTGCTTTATAAATCAGTGACAGAGCTTTGTACTTTTTACTGTGAGAATAAGGGCTTCAGCTCCCATATAGTCCAGATGTCTCCATGAAATTAATCTCTGATTTACCAGTACCATTTTCTGAGACCACACAGTTGACTACTCTGCTTGTTAATCCTTTACCTGAAATTCACTGTTTATCCTTCTTCGCCTAACCTATTGGCCCTGTCTGCTACAGTACCATCCATTATTTTTATTATGTTTTTTCCTACTACAAAGTCTACTCCTCCAAAAATCTTCAGCTGCTTAATAAAATGGGATTTTTTTATTATTGTTGTTAATAATTACCAGATTTCCATGCATTTGTGAAAAAAAAGAAATTCTATTTGAGCTTGGGAGACTTATTAATTCCTAATAATGGTATTATTAAACTAGCTGTAAATGGTTATGAAACAGGACACAGTTTTAGGTTATTTTGAGATGGATTATTCTGTTTGGTGATTGTCAGGATGTATCAGCTTTTCCCTTAGGTTCTGTTTAGGGGAGTCAAAGCAAGGTGGCAGAGAGGGAGCAATGGAGATCTTTGCTTTCAGGGAGAAACATGGAGAAACCAAAGGAGCAGATTCATGTGCGTTTTTTATGTACTCTGTTTTGCGTCTCTAGCATTTATTTATTTATTTACTTATTGGGAAACAGTTGTCTAAATTGCTTTACCTTTGGCTTCTCCAGAGAGCCTGTGTCTCCAGATAGAGCAATTGCCTGTAAAATCATAATCCCATATGTTTGTTTCATAGTATAAAAATATTTTTTACGACAGAAATAGTATATGATTTCCTTTGAGGGTGCACTTACTACATAGATTTTGGAGGGTTGGTAATGCAACTGGCAACTGGCAATATGTTAAAATTGCTATGAACTTTTAAAAATTTTCATACAGCCACCAAGTTGTATACTAACAGACCAAGAGTTGATTCTAAAGGATTTACATAATTTTCTGCACACACCTTCCAGTCTTATTGCCCCATAAAATAGTATAGCAATATCAGTAGATGTATAGGGGAGGTCAGTAACAGTGGTTTACCATAACTACAACGTCTAAGAGTTGGAACTGCTAACGCCTAAGAGTTTGAACTGCTATCTTGGGTGTACCTTGAAGATTTCACTGCATGACTTCAAAAGAAGATAATGTACAATTAGAAGGGTACCAAACACCACAATTAAGATTTTGAGGTTAGATTCTACATATTTATACTTTTTTTTTTTTTTTTTTTTTTTTTTTTTTTTTTTTTTTTTTGGTAGTGAGAATTGGACTCAGAGCCTGCAGACTAAGCTACATCCCCAGCCCTTTTTAGTTTTTATTTTGAAATAGGGTTTTGCTAAGTCATTAGGTTGCCAGGGCTGAGCTCAAATTTTATGATCCTCCTGCTTCAGCCTCCCAGACTGCTGTGATTACTTGTCTGCACCACCACTACTGGCTTCTAGATCTTTTTTGACCCTATATTCTTGCTTTAGTAAGAGAAAACAGTGACAGAATGAAACAGATCCAGCCATCTCTGCTTTCTGTAGCTCCTTCTAGTATCTGGGAATCACCCTTTTCATCAGTTCTGGAAAATATTTAACTGTTATTTCTTTCGTTCTTCCTGCTTCTCCACTTTGTGTATTCTGTCCTTCTGGATTTCCTGTCTGGTCAGTGCTTGTGTTTTCAAATATATTCTTGATCTTTCTTAACCTCTCTTTCAAGTTTTTCCATCTTATAATATTTGTATTATATGTTGTAAATTGAGATAGATCAATTTTTGGTTAATTTTTCACTTAATATATTATTCATCAAATTTCATTTGGCTTTTCAACACAGCCATTGAATTAAATTATTTTAGGAATTATGTTTTTATTATTAAACATTATGTTTTTGTCCTACATATTTTCCTGGTGTTTTTCCTTTTCTCTTGCTTTTTTCTTCTTTTAAGATTTTGTCTTTTCTCTCTCTCTCCCTCTCTCTCTCTCTCTCTCTCTCTCTCTCTCACTTTATAGTCCAGGCTGGTCTTGAACTCAGCGATTCTCCTGCCTCAGCTTCCCCAGAGCTGAGATTACAGGTGCATACCACCACACCCAGCCTTATCTTTTATGTCTTTAATCATTACAGACATATATTAGAGTCTGTAGCAATGTTATCTATTTCTGCATAATAGCATTATCACAGATGTACTTTTAAATAACACACATGTATTATCTCACAGTTTATGTGGGTCAGGATTCTGGGCACAGCTTTGCTGGGTCCTCTGCAAGGCTTTAACCAAGGATAGGCTGGTTTTTCAACTGGTGCCATGTCAGTGTTCTTGTGGCTGTCAGAAACAATCAATTCTTGGCAGGCTACCCCACTGATGGCCTAAGCTGAGGCCACCCTCAGCTCCGTGCTGTGTGGGCAGTGCCCAGCCTGGCAACTTGCTCTACAAGACAGCAAAGAGGATCGTGTGGGATCAAGACAACATTACCATTTATGAAATATGCTGGTGTACAGGGGAACAACACAGATCACCATTGTGACTGTGTTCTGTGGTCAGAGGTAAGCTGCATAGTGTGCCCCTGCTTAGAGGAGAGAGTGTGAGAGGAAACGGATGCCAGAAGATGCTGCGTGCACAGAGCTCGAGTCTGGCTGTGATAGGATTCAACAATGCCGTGATTTATTTCCTGGTTCTTGGAAGAACTAATTCTGCTATTTATTATTTCTGCTGATAGGGTGGGTTCTTTCCTTGTATGTTTTGTAATTTTTAATTATGAGATCTTTGGTGGAATTTTCATCTATTTTTCTACTGGGTACCATGTTGCTGGGTCCTCTGCAAGGCTTTAATCAAGGTTGGGCTGGTTTCTCACCTGGGGCCAAGTCAGTGTTCTTGTGGCTATCAGTAGCATTCTACTAGATATACTTTTAATGTTAATTTCTTATCTTAGGTATAAAATAATATAAATATAAATTTAAACAGAAAACCCACATGAGGGGAAACTCATCATAACATTCTTAAACAGTGTTTTGTTTTGTTTTTGTTTTTGTTCTTTTTACTAAGTTTCCAGGCTAAGACATACAAGCTTCCTTTTCATCCCATAGATTTGTTAGGTGTGAGGCAAGAGGATCACAAGTTAAAGGCCAGCCTGGGCTACTTAGTGGCTTAGCAAGACCCTGTCTCAAAATTTAAAAAACAGCCAAGGAGATGGCTCAGTAGAATAAGTGCTTGTCTGGCAAGCACAAGGGCCTGAGTTCAATCCCCAGTTCTGCCAAAAAAAAAAAAAAAAAAAGTAAAAAAAAATTTAAAAAACAAAACCAAAAAATCTTAAACAATTAATTTTCAAAAGGGTTGGTGTGAAGGCTCTGGTTCAATCCCAAGTACTGCAAAAATAACAAATAAAAGAAAGAAAGGAAAAGAAAACAAAAGCAAAACAAAGCAAAGCAAAGCAAATTGAAGAAAATTGCTTTCTTGCTTTTCTCTTAGTGAATATAGATATCAAACAAGAAAGCATATGACTGCTTCTTCTAGAGACTTATTTTTCTGTTATTTTGGCAGCCCAGCTTACTTGAAAATTCTGTAAAATTTATTCTATGAAATTTAAATTTCTAGAGATAATTGATAAAATATAATAAATACACTTCAGAATGACTGAGCTAGTAAGGGAAACCCCCAAGGGCCACAGTTAAGGAGTGTACTGAAAACCAGTGTGATAAGCCTGAGCCACCATGGGGGATCCAAGGCCTTCAAGGCACAGAAGGTCTGACCACAGACCTTCATGAGGTAAAAATGCTACACTGAGAATCCCGCTTATGCCATGGTCCCTGTAGAACAATAAACAAATTGAAGTGTAGAGTGGGAAGAAGTTTTTGGTAGCTTAACATATAACATTTTAATATTAAAGCTAAAAATATATTTGCTCCACTGTATTTTACTTTGTATAGAACTCATAGTTACATGTGAGATAATTTTTATTTTCACTTTAAATAGTAAAAGGAAAGCTTTCACATGTTAATATAAAAGGTAACATAGCTAAGGGAGAAAACTAACACTCAGACTTGAGATACAGAATCTTACTTCAATGTAGTACTTTGCCTCCAGTACTATATTATGTCCTCATGTCTACCTCACGGGATCTTTATAA